AAAAGATTGTGAACAAATGTAGAGAATAGAAAGAAGCTACTACTGTCCATGGGGACTGATGGGGAAGCAGGCTACCAGAACCCATTAAGCAGATCCACATGGCAAGAGATAAAACCACTACTGAAGCATCTTTAAAATGATGATATATTCCCCACCTCAGCAAAAAGTTTGACCTGTTTTCTGCCCTGTTCTAAATTTCCACCTTTTTCCTTTCTCTCCTTAAACTCATTTAAAATAAATAAATAACCTTGGTCTGACAACCACTAGGTAATATGTGTTAAAACAAAATGGATATCATTCAGATGCAGATTTCTAAACCATGACTATTTTTCTCAATCATATAAAAATGCAAGTCCTCCTATAGCCTATAATGTCTGATCCCCTACTCACCTCCCTGTTCTATTTCCTACTACTCTCTCCCTCACTGTATCTATTCCAGCCCCACTGGTTTCCTTGCCATTCCTTGAATATCCAAACTTATTCTCATCTCAGGGACTTTGCACTTACTCTTTCCTCAGTCTAAATACACTTCTTCCTGTAATCTACTGACATCCCCTCATCTCCTTGTATGAAACTAAACACCCTATTTTTTAAATGATTTCATTTATTTATTCATGAGAGACACAGAGAGATAGAGAGGCAGGGACAAAGGCAGAGGGAGAAGCAGGCTTCATGCAGGGAGCCTGATGTGGGACTCGATCCCAGGACCCCGGGATCACACCCTCAGCCAAAGGCAGATGCTTTAACTGCTGAGCCACTCAGGCGTCCCCTAAACACCCTATCTAAAACAGTACTGCCACCTTTCATCATTACTCCCTTAACTTTATTTTTCTTCAGACCATCTAGCACTATCTAATGTATTATACCTTGGTTTGTTTTTGTTTGTTTGTTTACTGGAGATCTCTACTGACTAGAATATAGTCTCTAGGAGAGCAGAGAGCTTGGCTGTTTTGGCCAATGGTATATCCCCAGACACATGCACTGCCCAGTATACAGTAGGTGTTTAGTAAATAATTATTAGCCAAAATAACAAATAGTTTAAATGTTATCTTCCACAAATGACTAACCATTATAATTTGCTAATCAAATCAACAACAACAAAAAGTATTTCTAGTCACTCTTTTGTAGATGTAGCAATTGATAATTTATATTCATTATGGGTTTAAACTAAAGCTCACACTGCATGAACATGCATTATATAAAACCCAAATATTTTATATATCCAAGTATGATTTGTGTTGTTCAAAAAAAGTCAGCTTGCTCAAACTTATTTTGGATCTGCATTTTGGGCATGTCCTCCAAAATAAGGTTGGTATTCAATAGGAGTACTTTAATTTTTTGCTTTTTTACAGCCACCAAAAGCCATTCACAGATACATATGGTAAGGTCACAATTGTTCCAAAACATGCTCTCATTATAAAATAATAACATTATTATAATTCGTGTCATCATAATCTGTTTTATAAAGAATTCCTCAAATTAAAAAAAAACTAAGTGCATTACACATATTTTGTTTTGATCTTTTCCTAAACAATCAGCTAGATGAAGCATAAAATGTACGTGGCTAATTCAGTGACAGAGAAATAAACAGAGAAAGAATTATCACCTCTTTTTTTGTCTAGTCTTTAAAGTTCTATCTAAGGCTATTTGTACTATAAGTATCAATGTGTTAGGTAATTAAGGCAAATTCATGATGTTATATTGGCCCTGTTTTCCCACTTTTGACCCTCAAAGTGAACCATGTCTTCTGATTGTAGCAAGATTTTCAAAAGATAATAAATTGATGGAAATTGATACCACAGATTCAAAGAAAAGCTATTATGTGATTCATACAATAAGTCCTCTGTTGCATATTTATCCAGTTGTCAATCCATTAATTATCAAATGGAAAAATTACAAAATCTTTAGATTAATTTCAATGTGGGTATTATGCATATGATGCTTTTGTAGTAAAACTTAACCTCTCTAGAGTAAGCTGCTATTTAGAGCACTAAAAAAACCAGCAGACATTATTCAATAGTAATGACACCTAATACAGAAAGTAACAAAACATTTTGGATAGTTAGAATGATAATGAAGCCAATAGGCAATCTGTGACCATGTATTTAAAACTGGAAAGTAAGACTGATTCTAGAAAAGCAACAAAATATTAATTCAATGATAAATCCACTTAAGTAAGTCACTCTACCCACTCTATCATGATCATTTTATGGAAAAACCTAAACTGTGTTTGAGGTTTGAAGAGTCTTCCAAACTTAATGAGTCTTTTTCACATACTTAAGGGATGCAACAAGAGTCTTGATTAAAATAAAAAGCTAGACAATACATCTAAAACTTTAAGGCCTCCTTGTTCTGTGCTATGTAGCTGCTTAAACTGCTTCTTGGTCACTTTGCTGCTGGGGATCATTGCTTAATCTTGGAAAGATCATCCATGGGGTAATCTTAACCTGTTCTTTAGACCTGCCCAGGGCAGAACATATTTCTGGGAAGAAAATCTAACTATAAAATATCTGTCAGTTTAGAAAAGCAGACCTCTGATATTCAACTTTTAAGTACCCCTTTGTTATTTCCTACCTCTACTGCTCTTAATACTACATTTTAATCAATTTTCACAGAAAAAAACAGGGCAGCCCCCGTGGCACAGTGGTTTAGCATTGCCTTCAGCCCAGGGTGTGATCCTGCAGACCCGGGATCCAGTCCTACGTCAGGCTCCCTGCAGGAGCCTGCTTCTCCCTCTGCCTGTGTCTCTGCCTCTGTGTGTGTGTGTGTGTCTGTCATGAATAAATAAATTAAAAATCTTAAAAAAAAACAACAACAACTAATGATCCTTGATCTTAGGAGTAATGTTCCCAGTTTTCCTTCCATAATTATAATTCCATTGTTTTAAGACAGCTAAACCTTTTTTTGAACTAAAGTGCCAGATAGTGGCAGAGCTATTTAGGAGTTTTATGCATGAATGCTTGACATTTTTTTTTCCAAGTCAACAAATATTTAAAGTCAACAACCAAGAAGGTCTATTAATTGAAAAGCATCTGACTGGAACTGAACTCTGAATAGAATGATCTTATTTCTCCCTCAATGGCACAGTACATTAAAAAGGAGGATAAAATTAAAACTAAAGTGTTCCTAACAGAAAAGATTGAAATAAATGATGAAACCATTTCTTTAATGAGCTACTGACAATAGAAAATAACTTTATGAAGAAATTTGTGAACAACAGCTAGTAATAATCCATCATGAAGTTTCTCCTTACCATGATGAATTAAATTATATCTTCATTGTGCTTGTTTCCCTTCAGATATAGAATTTTATCAATTACCATTCATTACTGAAGTTAGTTATTAGTTTATTGGGATTCTTACCAAAGAAGAACTTTACTCATTTGTCAAATACTGCAAAACAGCTATGATTATATCAACGAGCTCTGGGTGTATCCTGAGAATCACTATTTTCATACTATACCAGTGTTTTTTAAACAAGGGGCTACCATTATCTCTTTTGAATGCAATCAAATAAACTATTTCTATTGAGGCCTGATTTTTCACATTTCCAAATAGGTCATTACTGCTCAAAGATCTTTCAATTAATTTCATTGCCCTTTATATAGATACAGAATTTATACACACTATTATTTTTAACTGTATGATATTAATTCTTTCAACTATCCTTCTTCCTAAAATATCTCTTTATTACATAATATCTTGTCCAAATTTGTACAGAAATTAGTCCCCTTTCCAGTGCTAGCTTCTCAGACCTGTGCTTGCAAATCCATTCCTTCTAGTCCTCTTTCCATTCCCACACTTCCACTGACTCTTTTCCTCTGCCTTCCAGTACCACCAGTAAGTCTTTCCTTCACTGTAATCCATCCAACTAACAAATTATTAATACCATTGTTGTTATGGTGCTCCAAATCTTTCAAAAGTTCTCTAGCATCTCTAAGTTATTCTAATATTTTGTCAAGGCATTCAAGATCTTCACTGAGCTGATGCTAAATGGCTTTTTCCCTAGGACTCCCCAGAATAAAATCTTTGCTTCTGCTAGGCTGACTCACTCACCTTTCTCATATATGGTTTATGCATTACCATCCCTGGTTTTTGACAACGCTGTGAATTTTACCAAAATGACCTCCTTCCTTCTTCATTTGCCTGATTTTCAAGGTTCAGCTCAAATTCTGTCTTCTCTATAAAGCTCCTCCTAGAACCCCAGACTACACTAAATCTATCTTTTTCTGATTCCCTGCTCCAATTTAGCACTCAATTAGGAAGTATTTTTATTTATACTTGCATTAGTGTTTATACTTGCATCCTTCCTTTTGAGCATCCAAGCTAAGCAACTAGCCAACAAGTTAACATTTACTGAGCACTCACTTGTCAATCACTCTTTGGACCAGAGGAACAGAAGAATGAATAATGTTTCTTTTATTTACTCAGAACTCTTAATACAAAGCACCTTTCAGGGAATACAGAAGTTTTTACTAAATAAGTGAGTAACACATCACTAATAGATTTGCTATTAAAAGTGACCACTCTTCCAAACATGCTGTGCATTTGCTATACACACATAGGTAGTATCACAAAACAATCATGCAAGACTGGAAGTTTTAAATCTCAATATAAATCCTAATCCCAGGTGTTTATTAGTTTTAGAGTAAAACCAATCACTGATTTTAAAATCATATATTTTTTTAAAAAACACATTTCATTCTTCTCACTATTGCCCATGCATCTGACAAGTAGGCAGAAACCAATGATTTATAAGCACAGCAATCAAAACATTATAAACAATTGTGGTATCCAAAGTATCTGAATTCCAAAAATGTATCTGACAAGAAGAAAATATGACTATCAAAACTGTATAAGAAAAGAGAAAACAAAACAACAGCTTGAGAACATATATACATTTCTATATGTGCTAGTAGTCCTACCACTTAGATACATGTGAACTATTGTATAACTGATTATTTTCAAAGCGTATAACTTAAAACTCTATGCTCTACATACCTGTCCAATCTCCTACTATTTTAAGGTGGACCCCAAATGTTGCTTTGGTTTCAGTAGGACACTAAAAAGCAAACAAACAAAAAAACTAGAATCATTTCTGAGTATTCTGAGTAATAATTACGTATTACCAAACTATGATTCAATTACAATTTTCATTCTCATAGCAAGTACCCAGAATCAATAGAAAATAGGAAGTAATGAACTAAAAATCAATATAGATCCTCATTAGTGGAGGAAAAAAGCAACACTGATCAGTCAATAAGACAATATACATTGCTCTAAAAACCCATAAGTATATATATAAAAAAATACACATAATCTAAAATTGTTAGCATATCACAAATATTGTCTAAATACCTTTTGAATTAAGATATTTAAGAGGACAGAGCTTTTAACCACAAAGGAAGAGATGGAGACTAATGATTTTAATGTCTTTTTCTCTCCAGATATTATTATACACTTCACATTTTAACAAATTCCAGGAATAAAGAAACAAAACATCTCCCAATGTGACCGGAATTTTCCATGTCCAACAAGGAACTCCTACTGAAAGAGTTCTATTTCATTCCCTCCCTTAATTCTCAGAAGAAATAAACTGGAGTGAACTGGCAAGGGTACCTGGGAAGGGGAATGAGGTGTAGTAATAGAAGAAAAGTATACATGGCCCCATGTTTAGGAAATGTAGAAAACACCCACCATCACTGAAATGAGAGGATAATTTTTGGTTCACAATAAGAAAATGCAGAATCACCTTTTATTTTGCAGAATCCCAATCTCTTATCCATAATCCTCAGGTTTAAATGTTGTGAAAAGTAAGCTTCAGAACTCATTTGGTGGCACTATCTGACTTGAATTTATGGGAGGGTAATAGTGGGAGACTAAAAGCTCTGTACAAAAATTCATACAGAAGTGTTTTCTTACAGAAGTATCCATTTGCTTAAGAATCTTACCCCATAACCTGCTAAAGAACTTATATAATATATAAAACATACATACCTTTTAAAATCTATAAAATTCTAAATTCTGAAAACACATCTAACTTAAGGGTTATGGATAAGAACTTTATACATACTATTATTTTTAACTGTATGATAAAAGCTCTTTCAATTGTCCTAATTTCTTATCACACAATATCTTATCCTTTCCTGATTTTTAGAGAAATTAGTCCCTTTTTTCCAATGCTAACTTCTCAAAACTTGGGTTGCCATGCTTTCACTGAGTACCATGTGCTAAGTGCTTTATTTCCAAAATCTTACAATAACCTCTGGAGAGCTGTCTTTTATAGTTAAAGAAACTGAATAACTGGGACTTAGAAATATGGACTTTTCCCAAGATCACACAACTAGTAAGAAGAGAAGACAGAGTTTAGTCCAGGTGTGTCTGACTACATAGTTCTTAACTATGGCAAGTCACTGTCTCCTCTAAGGCAAACATGGAAAATGGGTAAGGGTCACATGAAAAATCAACTGGAGTAGGAGGAAGAAAAGTTATTTGTTGAAGATTACTAGAAGAGATGTACAACAATAAGAATGAAGGGGAAATATGAGCTGAAGTCAAAGCACAGACATGGTCCTGGGGGCCCTGTGATAGAGAATGGGTTGCATAAAGCAAATCTAAAATCCTCAAGCTCCCTGTGTCAACCAACTAATGTAGGTCACACTGGGATGCTATAAGAGGAAATAAAGGGAGGTGAAGACACTGTGGAGAAATGTAAAGAATTCACAGTCAAACAAGAAAGGTAGCTTGGAAATCAGTGAAAGCCCTAAAATAAAAATGTAGGTATTCACAAGAAATCACAAACATACTAATAGTTCATGATCTAATATACGTTCAGGATTGGGAACTGATGTGATACGGAATTACTGCTAGTATGATAAAAATATTAAGATAAAAATATTATGAAATTATATTATTTAAATATTATTTGTACAATTAAAATGGTATTTCATTATAATTGTGACTCTAATATTGATTTCATTTGCATTCTGGTTTCTAATAACTCCAAGATCAATAGGTTTTCGAATAAGAACATATTAATAATTATTCCATTAGTAAGATGGTGTGATCTGTAAAAGCCACCCATCATTTTTACTTCATACTACTTAATGCTGGCCAGAGCCTCTATGCAGTAAAAGTTGTAGCTAGGGGATCCCTGGGTGGCGCAGCGGTTTGGCGCCTGCCTTTGGCCCAGGGCGCGATCCTGGAGACCTGGGATCGAATCCCACGTCGGGCTCCCGGTGCATAGAACCTGCTTCTCCCTCTGCCTGTGTCTCTGCCTCTCTCTCTATCTCTCTCTCTCTCTCTCTCTCTCTGTGACTATCATAAATAAATAAAAATTTAAAAAAAAAGTTGTAGCTAGCAGAAAGCAAGAACCCCAACAGAGTTCCAGGCTACCAAGCTGTTTGCCTATGTGTCACACTTGATGTTTCCCTCATTGTAAACTAACTCTTAGATCATAAAAATAATATCTAAGCCAAGAAGGCATCAGAATAGAGAGAAAAAAGTTAGTCTTGATATGAGTGCATATCTGGCTTGATATAATCTCATATTCTAAAGGAAAACATATATCTTCCCAAATATTCATCTCTCTAGTCCATTCTTTCAACTAATGGAAAACATGTATCTTCCCAAATATTCATCTCTCTAGTCCATTCTTTCAATGCAAACATTGTAAAAGATACTTGCATGTGATAACATCCCCACAGGTCCTGAAGAAGCTTACAAACCTCCCTCTTGTGATGCTGGCCAAATATATCAGTACAGTTTTTAAGTTGATCTGATTTTGAACAGATAAAACATAGTATTGTTTCTCTCAAACTCTGGGAATAATACCTTTATAAGTTATTGATACTTTCTTAAACTAGCTAGGAATAAGAACATAGAATTTAATATAGTATTTGCCCAGTCCTATTGCCTCAAATTTGAAGGAGGCCTGTACATACAGAATGGTTTCAGCATGTGTGGTTTGAAACAATGACTGGAGATCTTAGAATCATATTCTAGTAGCATTGCACAAAAATGTTGCTTAAACAGTAGTGTAGTGATTCTTTAATGCTTCCTCACTATCTTTCAATTTTTTTATTTTTTAAAAACGTTTTTATTCATATTCCAGTTAGTTATCATAGTGTTATATTCATTTCAGGTATACAATGAAGTGAATCAACCCTTCCATACATCACCTGGCACTCATCATGACATAGTGCACTCCTTAAATTCCAACACCTATCTCATTCATCCCCCTCACTCAACTCCTCACTGGTAACCATCAGTTTGTTCTCTATTGTTCTGAGTCTGTTTCTTGGTTTGTCTCTCTCTTTTCCCCTTCGCTCCTTTGTTTTGTGAAATCACATGGTATTTGTCTTTCTCCGGCTTATTTTGCTTAGCATGATACACTCTAGCTCCATCTATGTCATAGCAAATGGCAAGATTTCATTCTTTTTATGGCTGAGTAATATTCCTCTCTGTGTGCGCACGCGCGTGTGTGTGTGTATACACACACATCCCAAATTGGACAGCAATATGCAAAAGAATGAAACCAGACCAAGACCACTTTCTTACACCATGCACAAAAATTAATTCAAAATTCATTCAAGATCTAAATGTAGACAGGAAACCATCAAAATCCTAGAGGAAAACTTAGGCAGTAACCTTTTTGCCATAGACCGTAGCACCTTCTTTCTAGATATGTCTCCTCACTATATTTCTAATAGTGTTAAAAAAAAATTCTCAAAAGGAAGAAATAGTAAAATACAGATATCTATGGCTCTCTACCTCTCCCAGAACATTAATAAGGAAATATGCTTATGACAAGTTTTCAGCTTAAAAATTTTCAGGATAATATGTGTAGTTAAGCTCACATTATTAAAAAAACAGTTATGAGTGGGTTTTTTATAGAGAAATAAGTTGAAGAGAACACATAATACAGCATTAGGAATATTAACTTCTGGGAAGCAAAACTGAAGGCAGAAAATGAGAACTCATATACATCTCCTTTTAAAAATTTATTATTAACCTTTGTAATGTTTACAATTTTTATATATTTTTAAAGCGTAATTTAAAATGCAAACAATAAGACATTGCTGAGTCTCAATTTAGTCTCACTTAAGTTTCCTAGATGTAGAGAAAGAGTATGGTTCATGTTATGATAATATATGTACCAAAATTCACATCACCCAGTTAAGGGTAAGAAAATGAAGTGATGAAATTTGTAAGAATAGACCTGGGGGAATTTCTATTTTGATATTCTTGAGTAAAAGTGCTTTCCTTCAAATTATTTGTTCAATATGGCATTGACTTTTTAAAGTGCTCAGATGACTAATGATTTTATAACAGTCCCACAAAAATATAAACAGATATTACATAATCATCTTACATTTGAGAACTAAATGTAAAAATGATGTCATTGCACAATGATTTATTCAACATGGAAAAGAAATTTAAAAGCCACAATGTGTTTGTTTTTAAATCAAGAGCCTTGCAATAACAAATAAAAATGATTCTAAAGGAGATGTTACTATATTAAATACTATATTTTCTTTTTTAAAAAAACACTATATTTTCAATGTAACAAACTTGTTAAGCCAGAGAAAATGTCACAGAATATTAAGAGTCTTTAATCATTATTGTCAGGTCTTATTTTTAACCCCTTCTTCCAAAGCTCTAGTTTTTATGCCCACTATACGTCTCCATCTGAAATTCACTCTAAATGTACCGTATTTAAAATTCTCATTATCTTCCCAAATTGTCCTCTCTTTCTGATTCTCTTATGTTTGAACATAGAACCTATGCCCTTATCAGAACAGAGGCTTAAGTCTCAGAGGAATATCATATATATCTGTTCCTGCCAGCATTCAATCAATTTTCAAGTCCTCTAAAACAATCTTATCAAAGAAAATGTCTGATTACAGCACTCTCTTATTGATTAACCTTTTTTGTCCTCCTAAGGAAAAACACCCACATTCTTTCCTACAGTCTATAGCCAACCACATCTGTTCCAAATCCTTTCCAACTTTATATTCCATATTCCTCCTTGGCCTCTCTAATCCCCTAAGCCAACATGGA